CCCCCCTGTTTGCACAACCACAGGGTGAAGCATTCAGGGGAAGCACCGTGGTGGGCAAATAACCACCAGCGTGTCACCTGTCAGGGTCTGTTCAGCTGCCAGGGCTGCTGAAGAGACACCCCTGCAATATAAAGGAAATGAATTTTCATTATTGCAATGAGATTTAATTCAGTGTGGTCACCAGCATCCCTGCTCTGCTCTGAAGGGCGCAGTGCAGAGGTCATCCAGAGAGATGCTGCCGCTGCAGCATCAGTTTTGTCTCAGGACACGAGGGCTGGGCTCTCCAGCCAGTGCTGGAATGAAATTTTGGCAGAAGTTTCAAAAAAGGTTTTGGTTTTTTTTTTCCCTCTCTCTCCCCTGATGTTTATTAATTCTCCTGGAAGCTTGTCAGCACCAGGGCTGGCAGCAGTCGCGGAGCCTCACTGGTAACCCCAGGCAGGACCCCTATTTATCAAGAGCACAGGAACAGTGGTCCTCTGTGAGATGTGTTTGGTGATGTGTGCAGCGATGAAAGATAGAGAAATACGATCACAAGGTTCATGATAAGTGATTTTTCTAACTCTTCTCAGAAAGCTGCCTTGTGGGTGGGGGTTTTTTAAGCAAAAAAAACCCTGTTCTGGGCAGACCGAGCTGCCAGCAGGGTCTCTCCCAGCCTTGGGCTGAAGAGTAGCTGCTGCCTCGGGGGGATGGGGATGCTGCTGTCCACTGCTTGAAAATTGGGGATCTAGTTGTGAGTCAAGCTCTGGCAGGGATTTCAATGCTGCTCATAGAGTTCAAGCTGAACCCTGCAGCTTTCCTTTGAGGCCTTGTGCTGCCTGTTACCTTCCCTGTGCGGTTCCATCCGTCAGTGGGGTGGGAGAAGGGAGGGCAGCCCTGGGGTGGCACAGCCCCTGCCATGGGGGATTGGTCCTTGCTAGTCGTTCTGGAGGTATATATGGATGTACATATATATGTAGCATGTGTAAGTGGTGTCAGCTCTTGGAGCAATATCCATCTGTCTGGCTGCAGCAGGGACAGGGCTTTGGGATGGGTGGTGGGATGCCATGAGTTTCCTCTTCTCTGCACTGCTGCCTTTCTCTGGGTGCTGCCTGATGCTCTTGGTAGGAGCAGCGGTGGGGGATTCCTGCCTGCTCACCTTCCCGCTGTTCCTGCTTGCATGGCTCTGACTCATCCCTTTTCCTACATCCCTTCCTCACCTGGGGACCAGCATCCTCCTCCTCATGCAGCCTGAGCTGCTGCAGCTGCAATCAGGCCAACTCTGCAGATGGGATCCCAGGTCCCTTCTGGGATCAACCCAGGAGCAACCACTCTTGATAAAACAGGGAGCTGGTCTGCCTTTGAACTCTCACCAATTCTTTTTCTCTTTTTTTTCCTTGATTTCAGAAGAGGACAAGAAATGAATGACACGAAGAAAACACTCCTACCTGAAGGATCCCTAACTTGTAACTCGGACTGAAGTCTTGCATGCGTGACCATCGCTAGAAGCCAGCAGGACATGCATGTGTCCGACTATCAGACAAATGCGGGTGAATCGTCGAAAAGAAAAATACTGATTTTGTTTTGTTTCGTAGCTTTCTTTTTCCTGTACATAAGAGTGCAATTACTGGACAGCTGGCGTAGGGTTTGGGGACGGAGCTGTGTGGACCTGGGTCGGCATAATGCGATTCCTTGGGGATTTGTTCCTGCAAAATTTGAGAACCTCTTTCCAATTTTCACCCTGACTGGGTGAGGTCAGGCAAGGTGTCCTTCATGGGAGATCAAGGCGGGGAGTCGGGATTTTAGGGAATACACTGAGTGCGGGCAGGAGGCTCCATCCCCCAGCAGGACGGGATGCGCAAGGGCAGCTCACGGGGCCGGGAAGGGCTTGGCGGTGGGCGAGGGCAGGGGAGGGGCCGTGTGTTGGGGTCACCAACCTTCGGTGATATCAGCGGTGTCGGTGGGCACATCGCTGCAGCTGCTGTGCTCTGCTCTGTGGCTGCAGTGCCTGCGGGCTGCAGCAGCTGGGAGCAGCCTCACAGCGTGAGCACTGGTGGGGTGGGTCTCGCGGACGCGGGTTTATACGTCAGGGTCAGGTGCATGCGATTGAAGGTGAAGCTCTCCCTCTTTATCACACTGTCCTGTTTGACCCCCGTGTTGTGGAAAGCCTGCACCTTCTCAGGTTCATCCGACACCAAAGCATGACGTAGTCTTGTCTGTTCTCCTCCAGCCGGTGTCTTGTTAGATCCCATCTGCACTATTTAAGCCGTAGCCCTCTTCCTCATAGGGGCAACCATTTAAAACAAAGCATGGGATGACCGACTTTGCATTTCTCATGTCTACCGGTCCCTCCTGGTCGCATTTTCTTTCCTCAGTTGATTTTTAACTATTTTCTAGCAGGAGTAGAGCTTAACTCCTTAGGAGTTTACGCAAGAAACTTCCATGAGTTCGTGTCCTCTGCTTCGGAGGACATCGTTGTCTTGCACAGGGCATCCTTGACACCAGTGATCCACCTTTGAGACGGGAATGAATGTATGCTTGTACATAACGTCGTCCTTCTCCATGAAGGTGTTGGTCATGGCATCCCTTTTTATAAGGCACCAACTTTATTTTATCCTCTTGGGATTTTTCTGCAGCAGGAGTGACACAGGCTGCAGCGAGGGTCTGTGGATCAGGAGTGGATTTTGGAATCCAGTAAACTGAGCTTTCTCCATTGAGCTGTTTTAGCTGAGAAGCTGATAGCAAGTGGTTTCTTCTCCACCTCTCCAAATCCACCCTTCTGTTTTCCTCACGTTCCCCTATGATCCGTCCTGGTGATATCTAGCTAGCCAAACCCTTTATCTTTCCTTTCTCTTAAATTCCAGCAGCAGCAGTAGAGACAGGGTTTTGGATAGCATTTTGCTCCTTTGCTGTTGGGTTTTTTCTTTTACTTTTTGCCTCTTAAAAGCTTCCAGTGCTTTTCTGTTTCTCTTTCACCTGGGCAAGAGTTACTCTTACTCTGTACAGTAGGTGCCAATTGTCATCCCTCCTTTCTTTTCTCCATCACCAGCATTGAAGATGAGCAGAGCCCCCAGACCAATGGGAATGTACAGAATTGTTATACTACTGAGCTGATTTAATTGTACAGAAAACCTTGCATGAAATGTTGTTACTGTATTTAATATATAATGTATTCAAGGAATTTTAATATGGAGCTCTTAAAAAAGATCTTTATAGATACTCTGTGGTTAGAAGTTGCTGATTTTTAAAAAAATATTATTATACTTTGTCTTGAAGTTTTATTTTTTGAATGTGGTCTAATTGATTTAATTGGTGATCCCACGGAGCAACCAATTCCTCTTTAAAGATTTTCACTATGGATGACACTGACCCTGGCACAGAGGACCAGGGCATGACCCAGGTACTGCTTAAGCCTTCAAAATAAGGCTTCAGTAAGGCTAACGCTGTCGATATGTTGTTTGCCATTCCCTGAAAGGCTGGATTTCACCTTATTTTAGTACAGATCATCTCCAGCTCTCTGTGCTGGGAAAGAACCAGCAGGAATTTAATCCAGTACTAGATCAGTGACTTCAGAGGAAATTGCCTCTGTGTTTCCCTGAGGCTGAAAACCAGTTTGGGAGAGGCTGGACTGGATTTAGAGCATCTCAGCACTGTTTGTAGGCTCCAGCGGGGCTTTCAGCTGCCCGATGGCTTCTCCCTGGGGCACGATGGTGTGCGGCGACCTGCTTGGACCATCCACTCTGTATTGCACCACCTGAGTTACACTGATCTCCCCGGGCTTAAGGTCTGGTGTAGGATTATTAACTTCACCCAAATATGTATGTTTGTGGAGAAGTTTCTTGTATAAAAGTCCCACTAATGACTATTGAATAATGGATGGGAATCTCCAATGTGAGGAGACAGAAAATAAAAAAAAGAAAGAGCTCTGTTTCAGAGCAGAGATGAAGTAATGAAATTTTAACTCATTGTTAAATTCCTGCTGGTAATTTTTGCTTAGTCTCACTTGACAGTGGAGAGGTGGAGGTGGTTGTAGCAGGCATCCTTCTTAACCCACAAACAGAATAGCTATTTGAAGAGATGCTGACTTTGTTATCTTATTGTTGACAGAGATGCCAAGTTGATGTTATTTTGATGGAGATGCCACACTGCTGCGAACCTGGGCAATGTCCATCTGTTGGTGCAGTTACTGGGTTGCAGTTGTGAGTTACCAAAACCCAAGCCATCACAGGCAAGAAACCATAGCTGTGTCCCAGCCAAAGGCTTGTTCTTTCCAGCAGCGGCAAATTGCACTTGCATTTATATTGTAAGCCTCTAGATCGACTAGAAAATAGTGCAGGAAATCTGCACCAAGGCTACCTGGATCAGGCATCCCCTTGCTAGGAGGGACCATTTCCTCCTGTGAACAGTTGACCACATCTCTCTCTTTCCTCCCATCCTTTAATTACTTGGAATACAGGTTTCACTCCATGCTTTTTGATTACAGAGGTTTATAATTCAAATATTTTAATGAATTAGAAAAATAGCTCTAATTATTTTTCCTTTATGCTTTGGTGAAGGGTCAGGACAAATCACGGAGTAGTTATTTATTACATATATGCCACCAGCAGCGTGCTGGGCACTTTTACAAGCTAGAGCATGTTCTTGTGCAGACTTGGAGATCCCAGAGCCAAGACCATCGCTTTGGGATCAGGTCTTGTGTCTTACCAATGCATCCAACTGTGTGCAATACAAGGGAGCTGGGCACTGGGTTTTGCCCAAGAACTTGTTAAAAAAAGCAGCTTAGGGGCAAAGCCTCTGGGATCCTTGCTTTTTTGACAACGGAGTTTAGGAATTCTTTCCTTTTTAGTTTTGTTTTGATGGTGCTGCCTGGCATATTCAAAGTTTTGAAATAAAACCTAGGTCTTTCCAGTCAGACCTTTAGCATCGGTGAGCTGCTGTGACAGATCCTCCACACACATGGAAGCAGCGATGTGAGATGTACAACAGAGGATGCACAGGGATGGCAGCGTGGCGTGTCCACAAGCACTTTATACTCCTTTCTCAGGGGCCAGGCACGTGCTGGGTTACAGCACCTGGGGGGGGGTCAGCTTTGGGCAGCAGCTGTGAAAAGTCTTTTGTGCTGTTTTGGGATGTCATGTCATTGCGGCCAGTGGTGGATGAGCTCTTCCCCTGTGGCGTGTGATACCATCAGGAGGCATGTTGGAAAAGGAAAAAGAGATGCTCTTCAGAGAAAAGAAGTACTGCATCCTACATTTTATTTCAGTCGTGTGACCAGTGTATGGCTCAGGGTCTGGATGAGGTTTGTGTGTTTGAGATTTTGGCACTGTGAAGATGTTGTGTGTGTGTTTGTGATGCTCTGCTCAGCCAAGGCTGGATGGTGCCACCAGGTGCTGGAGAAGTCAGGAGGGACAGGCTTTACTAGAGGGGCTGGGGGACTTCATTCCTGTAAGGGCATCAAATATGGGATTGTACTGGAGTCTCTGCTCATGGTGTGGATGGCAGAAGTAGCCAGAGGAGCAATAGGAAAACTCAGCAGCAATTTTTGGTCCCTCTTTTGTATGTCAGGTTGGTAGTGCTGCTTCCCAGTCAGGGTCCTGCTCCACCAAAACTCATCAAATAATTGCCGTGCAGGGGCTCAGGCTAATGCTGACCTGGTCGAAGGGAGATGTTCATGGGGTTTAGTGACCTTGGCATCATATCAGTCCTTGAACTTAAACACACAGGAGTCCCCAGTACCAACTCCTAAGATTTACTGTGAATTTTTGTCCATATGTGGCATGGCCATCACCTTGTCTGAATGATGCCAAGATTCAGCCGTCCCTGTCCAGTCCCACCTGGGCTTTCTTTCCCTACTTCTGCAGTGGCAGTTTCTGTCAGGGCTTGTCCCTGGTGGGAAGACAGCCCAGGGTTCAGGTTTTGGGGACAAAGGAGAAGGGCTTCACTCCATGCAGAGCTTGCATGGCACAGTTTGGGTTAGAGTTTGCAGGGCTGCAGCGAGGGAGGGGACACACAAGGTAAACTGTGCTCCCTGTTCTTGTCCTCTCGGTGCCATTCAGCTTTCGGTATGAGTGGGGCATTAAATGAGCCTAAGTCTGTGTGCACCTGAAGCGATGGGAACATGGGCACCCCCGGCTGGCGTCCGAGCTGGGTCAATCCGGGTGCTTGGGACCAAGAGGAGGGTGACTTCTGAGCTGCCAGCAGGTGCCCTCTGGCTTCAGTCTGGGAATATGCTGATTTTTTTATATGAGATGCCTGAACAGCCAAATCTAGAAATCTCTGAGTTTGTGCTTCGTAGCAAAAGGTAAATCATTATATCTTGGGGGGGGTGGGAGGGTGTTATCTGAGGGGTAGAATTGAAAGAAACAAGGTTTCCTATTTTATTATATGAGAGATATTTTTCCACTAAATTACTGCTTCCTAAATCATGTCCTTTGTCCAGCTGTAAATAGCCAGGTGTGCCGTGAAGATGTGGGAAGGCTCCTCGTGGTCACATCCATACAATCCACTCTGTTCACACAATATTGGGCTGATTTGTTTTATACTTATGAAATTACAGAAATAAAAGCGATTTTACTGGATGGCTCTGGGTTTGTTTGGGGGTGGGGTGGGGTGTTGTTTTATTAATATTTTTGTTGGTTTTTTACCCCATTTGTGGCCAATTTGGGGGACATTTGGGAGCCCATGGAGCTGTACAGAGTGCCTGAGGGCATTCTTCAGCCGTAAAAGGAGCTGTGCTCACCAGATCAGGATTTCTTGTGGGTTTTCAGAGCAGCCAAACTAGAAATGGAGCTGAGTTTGTCTCTGGCATGGGACGACAAAGGCGAAATGAAAGGAGTGGCATGATACGACTGTTGGGAATTTTTTTAAGTACCAGCTAATTCGCTCTTGGGGCACAAGAATACAAATAACAGTGCTAATTTTGACTGTATCCAGAATAGTCCTCACCTTATCTCCCCCAGCTGAGAGAAGAGGTTTAAATAAGCTCTGCAATGACCTCCAAAAGAAATAGTTATTAAATAATAATTAAATAACTTGGCCTTCTCTGGGGGTATGGCACAGGGCCTCAAGTCCATGCATTTCCATCTGCATCACCCAGAGCTCTGCTTACAGTCATGTTTTAAGTGGAAAATCCTGCTGTAGCTGCAGGTTGTGTTATGGAGCAGATCTGGGTTCGTGGCAACATCTGCCCATGGTGCATTTTTGCTGATATGTGGCCCCATGTGCCCCTTCCCAGTGCTATGAGCAGGAGAAAGGTGCTGCACCAGGTAGCCCAAAACCTTTATAACCCAAAGGGGGTTACAAGAGGGACATGGAACTCCCAAGCAAACACTGGGTTTTGGAAAGGGCTATTGCTTGGCCTCCTCTTTCCAAATGCAGATCTGGTGTCTAGTGTTGATGCATGAGGGCCACCACTGCCATGGCTGGAGGTGACCCTCAAGCCAGTCCCCTGTACCAGCTGCTCCTGAGGATGCAGCACTGTCTCAACTCGCAGCAGTGAAGGCAAAATCCCCCAAATTCCCCACCTGATTCTGCATCAGTCCTTGCACCCCTGGGGACCATCACCGCTGGGGCTATGCATGTGTTTCAGAGGCAGAAAACAGTTGTTACTCCTAAAAAACCCCAAAGGTCTCTGTACCCCATGGCAGTGTTCAGTTGCCCCACGGGGTGTGTGTGCCATGCTCCAAGCAGCTGCGACAGGCATAGGGCCACTGACACGTTTTGGTACCCCCAGCATCTTGGGGTCATGTGTTTGCTTTGGCATTGGCTAAACCATGGCCGAGGTATTTCTGGAGAGACGTGTTGCTGCAGCAGCAACCGGGGATGGAAATGCCACTTCTGTGGGGTGAGTACCACCAAAAACATCTGTCTGCGCCAGGGCGTCACAGCGCGGGACGGGCACGGAGCAGAGCCAGCCCTGCTGGGAAGGAGCGAAGAGAGGTCAAGGACAAGTTAAAATTGGAAAGAAAACTGAACATGCTGTTTTGTAGGATTTTGCTTGCTCTCATCTGCCAATTTTTTTCCACTCCCCCTTCCCATCACCAGCGGGGCAGTGTGAGCATCTCCTCCAGCTAAGGGGGGCAAGGGGGTCTGTGGTGGCCAAAACTGCTGGGCAGAGCCACCAACTTTCAGGGGCTCTTCTTGGCAACCTCGACCACAGCAGGTCCCCTTTGCATCTGCCATCATACTTTAAATCTCCTTGCCACCATGTTATTCCTTCCCATCCCCAGATTTGCAGCGTGCTGCACATTTTTGTGCTGAAATTCAGAGCTCCATGCTGGAAGCTGCCAAGCATTAGTCTGGATTGTGTAATGAGCTTCATCTATTATTTTTATCTTTTTTTCCCCCAAAGAAGTTTTTGAAAAAACAATGTCTGAGAGCCTGGAAGGACGTGGTAGCTTTTATGCCTACCACAGCTTTGCTTTCCTGGGTGCAGGTGGGCTCGAGCCTCTTGCAGAGGCTTTTGGACAACTCTTTCTGTGCCCCAGCAGCTCCTCCATCCTCTGGGTCTATGTCCCAACTCGAAGCAAAATTGAACTCACATTTCCAAACGTCTCCCTTAAAAATACCATTTTTTACATTTTTCTCTTGACAGCCCCAAGCAGAGGTTGAGTTTGTTTAATGGGCAGGGGGAAGGAGTTACTTCCGCAGCTGTGGATGGAATCCTGCACTAACCCTGCGCAGCACTGCCAGGGATGCCTTTGGTGGGTTGCCAGCCCTTGATGCCCTCGATGTCTGACCCAGCTGGAGCTGAAGGAGATGCTGAATGAGGTCAGGCCCCATGCTGGGGACCAGGCAATGCTGTCTGATCCTGGAGAGCATTTGGGCAATCTGGTCCTGGGGCTTTGCAACCCTGGACACTAACAGAGAGGCTTTAGTGCGTCGTTTGGTGTTGCTGCTTCCATTTTCCCCTCCTGTGGGCAGTGGAGCTAGATGGGCTCATTTTCCTTCTGTCTACCTGCTTTTGCCTTCTGTGTCCCTGTGTTGTTATGCTCCCACCCAGCTTAGTCCCACATTTGCACGCTGCTCGAGTTAAGCCCAGCTCAGCGCTTTCTGTGCATGGGGCAAACCCAGCCTCAGTGCCCAATGCCTGCTGCAGCCGAGTTCAAGCTGCCACCACTCCTCCAGCAGCATCCACAGTCTTTGCACCTCACCACCCCAGGAAGAGCACCCTTGGGGCCTCCTTCCTGCCTCTGCTTGAGAGCAGCTGAGAGGTGCAAAAGTCGTTCAGAGGAAATGACTGTGAGCATATCAACAGCATTGTACAAGCTTGTTTCTGCAGGAACCCAAGATTAAAACATCCCCAAGGTCAGAGCTGCTGTGCAAGCATCTGTGCAGTGGGCCATGGGCACCCCTCTGGGATGCACCTTACACTTATAAAACCCTCTTTCCACTAGTTCTTTTTTAATTTTTATTTCTCATTTTGGCATTACAGTAATATATTTATTATCACAGCATATTGCTGCAAACAGAAAGCAAGCTCTTATCTCGCATCAGGACAGGCCAGCGCCTGAGATGCAGCAGAAAGCATCACAGCCCCATGAACTCAGCATCTCCCATCAGGCGAGTGCCCTGTCTGGGCAAGTAATTTAACAATTTAACAGCCCAAGCAGGGCACTTCCCTGTGATAACCACCTGGCAGAGATGGGGAGGTGTGTTAGCAGCTCACACAGATTACCCCAGGGGAAGCACCACCGCAAACAGGGGTGTGCAGGGCGCAGTCCCAGCAGGCAGCCAGGCACGCCAGCCAGCTGGCACCGCTCGCACGCCCATGTCACTGGTGTGGGGCCAGGTAGCTTAGCAAGGCCAGCCCAAACCTACTAAATTCCCTGTTATAAAGTAATTTAAAGAGTGGCAAACCCAGGGATGGCATGGACAAGAGTGATGTGTGAGCAATGGTGGCGTGTGAGCCCAGAAGGTTTCAGGTTAGGATTTTTTTCTAACATTTGGGTGCCATGGCCAACAGGGTGCCCATGTTGGGTGCTGATAGTGGCCCAGGAGAAGACCCAGGCCCTGTGGGTTCTCCTGAGCTGGGGTGCCCCGCTCCCCACAGCACCCTGGCCACATCTACAGGGTCCAGCTCCACTCGCCCTCTGCCATGTGGCTCCAAGAGATGCTAAAACGAGAGATGCATATTATCTCCCAATGGAAAGTATTTTAGCTAAATCCATGCTATAACCATTTTATTGACTCCAAGTACCAGAGAGAAGGTTAGAAGTGACTCTTTTACAAGTCATTTTGCTGTTAAATTTAGCTGTCCTATTTTCATTATCCCCATGGCTTTGGCAAGGGTGAGCAGCCTTCCCTAAAAGGCCTCGTTTCATACAGTAAGTTATTCGCTTCTCTCCTGACAGATATCTAAGCTTATAAGGTTTGTCTGCTCCACTCAATAGCAGTATCAGCCTTCAATCTTATATGATTAGCATCAGCGTTTGTATTTGCTTTTGGCTCCTTGTCTGACAGCTTTCCATGTTGCTGAGGTCTGGGATGTTGGGATGGTGTCATGTCACTAGTAACGCGAGATCATCTGATTTTGATTCCCAAGGTTCATGGTACATCCAAAAGATTTGGACACATGGTTCATCTGCTTTTTTCCCCCATTTTCCCTATTGCCCAGCAAAGATAATCAATTTGTTCCACGCATTTCGCAGTTGTCAGGTCTGTAAAATATTGAGTTGAAAGGTCAACGTGATGCCAAATGATGGGCAATTGAACATGAGCAGTGATGTTAAATGTTCCATAAAGGAAAGAGTTATCCCAGCAGGTTAAACTTTTCCATATTTCTAAAACATTTTCCCCTGCAGAGAGAGACCTTGTCCCAGACTTGGTGGCTGCAGAGAGCCAGCATCTCCTTCAAGGTCACAGGACGGGGCTCACGGGATGGAGCCTGTCCTTGCGGAGAGTGCTGAAGCTGCTGGGCTCTGGGCTTTTTGTGGGAAACAACCTCTGTTTCCCCCAGAAACAACCCTCCTCAGCCCCAGTGCTCCCCAGCGAAGTTCTCACCCCTGTGGGGCTGTGCTCTTGAGGCTGCCCAGTGAGATGCAATGCAGGAACAGGGTCCCCCATCCACAGTCTCTGCTCTTTCCCCAGCACTGAGCCAGAGCTCCCACTAAAACTTCCCACTGCAACGATGCTGGGCCCCAAATTTCAGTCTGGCATGTACAAATCCAGCCCCTTTCCCAGTGATGTTCACTTAGAGTGATGCCTGCACCCCCCTGCCGAGCATCCCTCGCTGTGACCCAGGCTTTCCCTCCCACCCCTGCTCATGGCCATGCCTTTCAGGAAATACTGGAAATGCTGAAAATGCTTCGAAACGCACCCAACCCAGCCTCATGCAAGTGCTGGGAACGGGCCAAGCCCCAGCTATGCGGCCTCACTATGGGAGGGGGCCAAGCCGGATGCTCCGCTGCCCTGTGGATCAGCTATGAATTGCTGGGCTGGGGGTTCTGTGCCCCCACCCTCCCCTTTCCTGACCCTTTTTCTGGGGAACCCTCTGGGGGACAGAGGAGAACATGGATTAGGGACACAAACAGGAGACCCACAGCCTGAGGTGGCTGCTGGAGCAGGAATGATACAACTC